ATATCTCAATAGAATAAGTTATATAGAAAAATTGAATTCTATTGACTTTTTCTACTGAATATTTTCTATTGAACATTTCAATAGAATCGGCCAAAAACTAATAGAACAGTTCAATAGAAGTTCAATAGAATTTTCTAACGAATTCGATAGGTTTTTTTATATTTTATTTTTTTAATATTCTCTAGAATCAATCGGGCCTCTGTTCCCCTGCGCATTTCGTCGTTAATTCTTCGAAGATTTATAAACATCTTCAACAGTCTCAAGTCTTAATGAAAACACTCACCACCTGATGTTTATATTTCGTCTTGCGCTCAAGACTTCCCACGAAGGAACTGATACGAGAGCTTGGTCCACATGCTAGAATGTTTGATTTTTTAATCTGATACAGGAAACATTTTGAATTAACAACGCAGCGAGGAAAATCCTCTGAGTCATTAGGGTTCAGTCGGAAGGATCAATGACTAAGCTGACATTATTTACTGTGCAGACTCATTGTGCTGATATTGAAGATTTGGATGAGTGTTGCAGTAATGTAGCTTCTGACTATTTGATAATTTTCTATATAAAATTCTATCTATTGGGTAGATAGAAAGTTCATTCTTTTGAATATTCTTGCAGGAAAAGGAAACACTGTTAAAACTTTTTGGTTGAAAAGTTCTATTGAAATTTTGTAAGAGTTTTGTAATTATAAATTCAAAACTTTATTTCAGTTCCCTTATTCAATAAAAATTGATAGAAATCAGATTCATGAACATCTTAAACAGTCTCAAGTCCTAATGAGAACACTCACCACTTGATGTTTATATTTCGTCTTGCGCTTAAGTTGATTTCCCACGAAGGAACTGATACGAGGGCTTGGTCCACATGCTCTCAAAGCAATCAGTTCTAGTTTCGAGAATGTTTGATTTTTTAATCTGATACATAAAACTTATTTGGATTAAAAACGAAGCGAGGGAAATCCTCTGAGTCATTAGGGTTCAGTCGGAAGGATCAATGACTAAGCTGACATTGTTTACGATGTAGAGTCATTGTTTTCTCTGATATTGAAGATGTGAATGAGTGCTGCAGCAATCTAGCTTCCGAGTATTTTACAATCTATATAAAATTCTATCTATTATGTAGATAGAGACTGAATTCTTTTGACCATTCTCGCATGAAAAGAACACATTGTGTAAACTTTTTGGTTGAAATTTCCTTTTCAGTTTTTTCGATGAAATAAAAGTTCCCTTGAAATTTTAAGGAGATTTGCCCTTAAAAATTCCAAAATTTACGGAAAAATCAGTGGAAACTAAATTCCAGTTCAATTATTCCATAAATGTTGATAGAAATCAGGAAAATTCAGCGGAATTTGGTACTGAATATTCATGTTCAGATAGTCATGTCTAGGACAGGGGAAAATAGATGACGAACATTTGCTCGCATATCCCATCAGCAATAAAAAAAGCCCTAAAGTCGTTTAATTTCTCAATGTCAACGTTGTAATTTCTGATGAATATATCATGTTGACCGTAATAAATTTCCCTAATTTCTGTGTGACTGATGAAATATCAAGCTCTCAGCGAAGAATTCATGCTGAAGTATGAAGTTACTAATTCTGCTGTGTAAAAAACCTCCCGTTGACCATTCACCGATTGTTCTGCATGAATAAAAAAAGTTATCAACTGGGGATCGAAAAAATCGATGTAATGCAAAGGTACTTATTACCGATTATGTTCACCGATATATTTACGATCAAGGAGAACGTGTGCGCAAGTCTCGTGCATAACATAATGATTCCATAATCCCATTAACTGGTGGGATAACCTTTTAGATTCGCAGAAAGTCGAACAACAATGGAAGGACTTTCCTAAAGAATATCTATGCAGCTTTTTGGCTGCAATTTCTGGTAGAATTCCTAGAAATTTTTATTAAGTGCATATTTGGCAGAAATTTAATGGAAATTCTAACAGTTTTATGGAAAAATTTATGGAAATTGTATATTTCAGTTCAAGTATTCCGTAAGAATTGATAGAAATCATAAAAATTCAAGTAATTACAGTCAGGAATTTTACATAAATTGAAATTCCACTGAAAATTCAAGGAATCCCGCTATCGAAAATTCCTAATTCTACGGGAAAAAATAAATAAAAACTGTCTTTCACGTCAATTATTTTACAACAATTCTCTTCAATTTTCAATTCAGTTTTAATATTTTCATCAAGTGACAATTTCACTGGAATTTCGAAGAGTTTTATCACTGAAAATTCATAATTTATTAAATTCATAATTGAAAACTCGGAAAGTCAGTTCAATTATTCCATGAATATAAACAAAAATCATAAACATTCACTAATAATTTAGTACTGAATGTCCATGTTTTTATTTAAAATCCAACTAAGCCGGCAAATTCTTGTGTTTCTGATGCTCAAAAATTTGAAATTCCACTGAATTCTCAATGAAGAAAATTAAAAAAAAAATGATTTTGTTAATCGAAGTGTGAAAAATTATAGTAGTGTTTAGAACAACATATTTCCTGGAATTCCTAAAGAAAACAAGTGATTTCGAACAGATGAATTATTTTTTCCCGCATCAAATTATTTCGTCGAACTAAAATCTGTCTAAATAAAATTTATCCCCCGGAATTCAGCAGCATAATGCACCACGCAAATCCACAACATTAAAACCTTCTGGATATGCTATTCTAGACGCTCCCAGGAATGTTCCAAGAGACACCATATCCATTCGATACTTTATTCCACGAGAAACGCACCGAGAATGATTTGGTATCGACCGGTGAAGGTGTACAGTTGAAAACTACCTCTTGAGCATGGTAATGCGATGACTGTCTCGAGCTACGAAATAAATGGGAGGACTGAGGTACCCCACCTCAGTGGAGGCGCCCACGTTCGTTGTGTAAAGCCACTGAACACTGAAAATGAGAAAAAAATTTTGAATGTCCCCATGGGAAACACTATTTGATGAATCCTACTCTCGAATTTTGGAACCCGTTACACCAGTTTCACGTGTAGAGACTCTTTTGATATCAGACGATATCAGAGTGGAGACTAAATTTATACGACGTGATGAGTCAATTCCACTTTCTAAAAATTCCATTATATTTTTTGTGAATAAACAGTGAACATTTCTCTCTTTCTTAGTTTTTTTAAATTAATTTTTTAATTGAGTAAAATCCCATTTTTCGATGCAATTTTTTCTATTGAGATATTTACTGCGGAAAATTCATGTATCGGAAAATTCCAGTACATGAATTTTCCGATTTTTTCTACTGTATTTAAAAACAGAATAAAATTTTTTAATAAAATTCTAATAAAGCTTGAAGAGAATTCTAATGGAGATCTAATAGAAATTCAATAGAATTTCTTAGAGAAAGCGTTGGGCTGTTCTATTAAATTCTTTCACGCATGAAAGATCTCAATAGAATAATTTGCATAAAAAAATAGAACTCTATTGATTTTTTCCATAGAACATTTTCCATTGAACATCCAATTGAAATCCAATAGAATTCCCTATCGAATTCGTTAGATTTCCCTATAAAATTCGCACGTTTTTTATTCATTTTTCAAGAGAATGGAGATACTAAACCCAGGAAAATCCCCTTTCCGTAAATAGAAGTGATCGGAAAATACAAGTTCTTATTTTACATTCAATGAATATACAGAACAAATAAGATTATTTGCCAACACCTGCTCCGTCATGCAAATAACTCTAATCCCCGAATCATCACTTCCTAGATGAGATGCGTACCCGAGGCTTTTAATAACTCTCTGTTGCGTTTACGAGTCCAACAATTCCTTTATGGCACTGCCACAACCGGTATCGAGGTAGGTGTAATGATCTTCACGAGGAGCTCAATCGAGTGACAGTGATTTCCAGAATCAGGTGATTTCCTGTTGATTTCTGTGATTTCTCAAATCTTAGAAATCATGATCTACTAATTTCCGCCATTTTACGAGTTTTGCGATCTTTATTCTCCATTAGATTGGAGATATCAAAAACTTAGTTTCTTTCATAAGGAAAATTGAACATCACATACAATTTAATTTTCAACAGACTGAAAATTCAGAGAAGTTATTGCCTGAATTTTCCAAATTTTCAAAGTTTTCCAGTGCCGTATGGACCATAAAATCGAGAATTACTTGAGAAATTAACCGATTCGTCAATGAAGAATTCAACAGAAATTTCACGTAACTTTGTCGTTGTTAAAAATTTCAAGCGTTTTCACTTGTCATTTCAAGACTAATTTTCTGACCGTGCCTTTCCCGCCCTCGAATGACCCCTCAAGTCCATTCCCCTGAAACCCCCAAAAAACCGAAAAATCCGATCGCCTCACCGGCCCCCAAGCCTTCGATTCTCTTTCCGGAAAAGCCGTACACCTCCGACTTCCTCCCCTCCTCAGGCCCCCCGAATTTCCCATTTTCTCAGGCCCCCACCGGGCACCCTCGCCGCGACACCGTCACCATAGCAACACATTCTCCGACTCCCGCGTCGCGCATGCGCCCGTCATCCTCCCGACATCGCCCGACTTCCCCCGAACGCCGGTATCTCTGTCACTGGAGTGAGAGATCGCCGGCTGCTAGCCCTGGGGGGGGGGCTGACCCGAGGGGGGAGAATCGACCCCTTCCCTGCGCGGCGGGGGGTGGGGGGCGGGGGGTCGAGCAAATGTTGAGGCCATGGAACTGAGAGGGGCGCTCAACCACGCGGCACATCATCCGTTTCATGTTGTACCGAAAAATGGTGCTGTCTGGGGGGGGAGGGCGGAGGGGGGGCAGTCACGAACGGGCGGGGGGAGAGGGGAACGCGCGGCGTAGAGCAAGAGAGAAGACCAAGTGAGCGAGAAACGCGCAGCTTGTGCACGTTTTACCGAAGGGGAAACGAAATACAAACGTGGGGGGGAAAAAAAAGAAGTTTATACTACAGACAAGTGAGTGAGCGAGAGAAGAGGAGGGGGTGAGGGTCCGCTGGCTCTAGAGGCAGCCGTTCAGTCCCCGATGCCCGACAGAACGAGTGTGTAGGAAAGAAAAGCTTGCCGTGCATTACTAATACCCTTTTGATTGACCCGCAACGAGTTTGAAATAAATAAATAAATTGACTAATAAGTGAAACGTCAACTGCAAGTGACTGATTGATAAACCGCGAGTGACAGGTGTTGCAGTTCTCGTTGCGCCGTCGAAAGGGGAAATATTTCTTGTGAATTTTCGGGTAGTATAAACGCGATTGCGCTGGATGGTCGCGTGTTATCGGTGAAATTGACTGAACCCGGGGGTTGAATAATCGAATTAGCTAGTTATCAGTGGCAATAAAAAGTAATAAATCATGTTTGATGTATTTGGCTCGGTGAAGGGCCTCCTGAAGCTCGACCAAGTGTGCATCGACAATAATGTATTTCGATTGCACTACAAGGCAACGGTGATAATACTGATAGCATTCTCCCTGCTGGTGACATCGCGACAGTACATTGGCGATCCAATAGACTGCATCGTCGACGAGATACCCCTGTCCGTGATGGACACGTACTGCTGGATCTACTCGACATTCACAATTCCGGATCGCAGTGGAGTAGTCGGCAGGGATCTTGTGCAGCCCGGGGTGGCAGCACACGTCGAGGGTGAGGATGAGATTAAATATCACAAGTACTATCAGTGGGTGTGCTTCGCCCTATTCTTCCAAGCAATGCTATTCTACGTGCCCCGTTATCTGTGGAAAACGTGGGAGGGGGGTAGAATAAAGATGCTCGTGCTGGATCTCAATTGTCCGGTTATGAGTGACTCCTGCAAGTCCGAGAGACGCAAACTACTGGTGGATTATTTTCGAACTAATCTGCACACCCAAAATTTCTACGCCTATCGGTTCTTCCTCTGCGAGGTACTCAATTTCATAAACTGCGTCGGCCAGATATACTTCATGGACTTCTTCCTAGACGGCGAGTTCACGACTTACGGCGCTGATGTCGTGAAATTCACGGAGATGGAGCCAGAGGAGAGGATCGATCCGATGGCTCGGGTATTCCCCAAAGTAACTAAATGCACCTTTCACAAATATNGGGGGGCAGTCACGAACGGGCGGGGGGAGAGGGGAACGCGCGGCGTAGAGCAAGAGAGAAGACCAAGTGAGCGAGAAACGCGCAGCTTGTGCACGTTTTACCGAAGGGGAAACGAAATACAAACGTGGGGGGGAAAAAAAAGAAGTTTATACTACAGACAAGTGAGTGAGCGAGAGAAGAGGAGGGGGTGAGGGTCCGCTGGCTCTAGAGGCAGCCGTTCAGTCCCCGATGCCCGACAGAACGAGTGTGTAGGAAAGAAAAGCTTGCCGTGCATTACTAATACCCTTTTGATTGACCCGCAACGAGTTTGAAATAAATAAATAAATTGACTAATAAGTGAAACGTCAACTGCAAGTGACTGATTGATAAACCGCGAGTGACAGGTGTTGCAGTTCTCGTTGCGCCGTCGAAAGGGGAAATATTTCTTGTGAATTTTCGGGTAGTATAAACGCGATTGCGCTGGATGGTCGCGTGTTATCGGTGAAATTGACTGAACCCGGGGGTTGAATAATCGAATTAGCTAGTTATCAGTGGCAATAAAAAGTAATAAATCATGTTTGATGTATTTGGCTCGGTGAAGGGCCTCCTGAAGCTCGACCAAGTGTGCATCGACAATAATGTATTTCGATTGCACTACAAGGCAACGGTGATAATACTGATAGCATTCTCCCTGCTGGTGACATCGCGACAGTACATTGGCGATCCAATAGACTGCATCGTCGACGAGATACCCCTGTCCGTGATGGACACGTACTGCTGGATCTACTCGACATTCACAATTCCGGATCGCAGTGGAGTAGTCGGCAGGGATCTTGTGCAGCCCGGGGTGGCAGCACACGTCGAGGGTGAGGATGAGATTAAATATCACAAGTACTATCAGTGGGTGTGCTTCGCCCTATTCTTCCAAGCAATGCTATTCTACGTGCCCCGTTATCTGTGGAAAACGTGGGAGGGGGGTAGAATAAAGATGCTCGTGCTGGATCTCAATTGTCCGGTTATGAGTGACTCCTGCAAGTCCGAGAGACGCAAACTACTGGTGGATTATTTTCGAACTAATCTGCACACCCAAAATTTCTACGCCTATCGGTTCTTCCTCTGCGAGGTACTCAATTTCATAAACTGCGTCGGCCAGATATACTTCATGGACTTCTTCCTAGACGGCGAGTTCACGACTTACGGCGCTGATGTCGTGAAATTCACGGAGATGGAGCCAGAGGAGAGGATCGATCCGATGGCTCGGGTATTCCCCAAAGTAACTAAATGCACCTTTCACAAATATGGTGCGTCCGGCACGGTTCAGAAGTTCGATGGCCTCTGCGTTCTACCCCTGAACATCGTCAACGAGAAGATCTACGTTTTCCTCTGGTTCTGGTTCATCATTCTCTCGATACTCAGCGGTCTCAGTCTGGCTTATCGAGCTGCTGTCGTTGCGGGACCCAAATTACGTCTCGTTCTTCTTCGTGCACGATCGCGTCTCTCGCCGCAGGACCAGATCGAGACCATTTCCCAGAGGTTCCAGATCGGCGACTGGTTCGTTCTCTATCAGCTTGGCAAGAACATCGATCCACTTGTCTATAAGGATCTCGTGTCGGATCTAGCTCAGCGGTTCGAGGGGAAACAAACGGTTTAGAGGAATCTCGTTATTAGAGATTAGTCGCGAGCATTTACGGAATTTTTATTGTATTTTGAAACTCAATGGTCTCGGGGGAAATTCACGGTCTTCTAGAGGGTTTTTGTTATTAATTTATGCTGACCGAGTCCGATAACTGCACACGTGACACTAAATTTTGTAGAAAAAACTGGGTAATTCGGTGGAATGTTTCTATTGGAATTCTTGATAGTTATCTGTGCTTATTTTCGTACAGAATTCGCGTAGAAAAATGAAATTCCACTGATTTTTTTTCTACAAAAAATTTCTGCTGGACATTTTCTGTAAAAGAAATGCGCAGGGAAGCAGAAATGCAATAGAATTTTCCATCGACTTGACTGGGTTTTTCAGTGAAGTATTTCCGTACGTGTGATTTCAATGAAAAATCAAACATTTCGACGTATTAATGCCAACGAATATTGTGTCTGGCTGGATTGGAGTCGACTGCCCACCTCCCACATTTGAAATACAATTTTCTCTGTCCATTGCTCGGTAATCATCACATGGCTTCGAGAAGAAACATTTTCTGAAATTAATCATCATATTTCTTCGTTGAGGGCCCTTGGGTCGTGGGACGGAGGCTTGTAGACTCTAATTGTGTGATAAGCGGGTGACGGCGTTGTTTCCTCTTCTTAGGTGCCAGCATTACAGGCATATTCATCAATTTCCCATAATTTCCCGGAGTATTCGAAAGTAGCTGTTACGTAGCGTGCAACAATCCCCGCCATCTGCCGATAGAAAACCGTAGGTTGTCAGCAGTTGGGGCCCCTTGGGCCTTGGCTCCCTCCTTTGTCCAGGTGTTTCCCCAGTAGTATTCGCGGATAGGTCAAGCATATCCGTTTAATTCCTATTTTCTATTCTGAATTGGGGATACGCATGGACAGGATGCAGCGAATGTTCAAGGGCATTTGGGTTTGCAGCTGAAACTAGATGAATTTTCCGCAGCGGGAGATTGAATTTAGGGGATTTTCATGGGTGTGAAGGTCAAGCGATTATATGAGCATACTTTTTTCGAGTAGAAACAAGTTTGCTCATGACTTAGAAAGATTTGGACGCCTCTAGATTCACCTAAATTGAACCTTGAACCTTTGTTCCTT